TATACATATATATATATGTATACATATATATATATGTGTATATATATATATATATATATATATATATATCTGTAAGCATGGTGATATCCACTCCTCTCAATCATTACTAGGATTTTATCTATGAGTACCAAGATTCTTGAACTCTTATTAAGGATATCTGAATGGAATTATTGTAAATTTATGAGGGTAAGAGAAAGTTTCTTGGAGAAACCTGCATCTGTAATAGGAACTGAGTGGTAATTTTTAAGCTGCAATTGTCCTCTGACTTATACTATTCTTGGCAGAGCTAAGACTGTATAATCCCAGTTATTGGGAAAGGAATTACAGTATTGCCTTGAAACCCCATTCTTTGCCTGTAATTAAGTTAAATGTGTTTGCCTGTCAAGAACRGTACCTTTCCATAAATAGGAGAGGTTATTTGCTCACATGGTAAACTTGTTTACTTTTTAAACACACACCTTAATCTATACTGAATATGAGCTCAGTCCCTCCTCAGTGGAAAGCATTGCAAAGAAAAACAAAACAAAATTGTACATGGAATAGAGTCTGGTTAAATTTYTAAGTATGTCTTGTTTTAATCCACAAATAGGTTATTTCCTGACATCAAGGCTAACTGTGATTTCAGTGGGCCTTTTTGAAGGATTACGAATTCTTGACTACTGTTTGAAGAAGAAATTATTTCTGCAGTTGTGACTCTGAACATTTCTCCGTTGTCCTAAATATCAGCCTTTAATGGATCCCAAATTACAAATGCATTTTTATTGTTGTAATGACAGAAGATATGGGAGAGATTACTTTTTCAAGAAATCTCTGCAGAAATGTATGCTTATATTCTGAATAAGTTGGTCACTAACAGAAAGATGGAAAAATTCTAGTACAAACTCAGGTTTGGGGGAAGAGGCTGTAGGTTAGAAATATGGACTTGGGCTCAACATTAGGTTTCATTTACTGTTTCTTTTTTAAAATTTATTGGTTCTTTTTAATTATACATTTAGAATCCATTTTGATATAATTATACAAGCATGGGCACTTACGGTTGATCTTGAGTAACTACATATTTCACTGAGTTTCAGTGTTCTCCTTTGCACAATGTTGCTAATAATAGATATTGCCTCATTTGTGTTGTTGTGAAGATTCAAAAATTGATGCCTACATGTATTTGGATAAGTGCCTAGCATACAAGTGGTACTCAATAAATATTTCACTATAACTGAACACCAAAATTCTTCTTTGGCAACTGTATCTTAAACTAGGAAAATTAGCCCATGTCATAGAGGATAACAGGTAGAAAGTCTTTGGTTGGGGGTGGTGAGGAATTTGCAACACTAACTCTTCACTGTTAGTGAAATGCTTTTCACTGCCATGAATCAGCTCTGCAGAAATCTCTGCTAAATCTATTCTTTTCATTTCCCAATATTTCTCACAAAAACCACCCTCATATTGCCTGCCAATCCAAATCCTCCCCTTTTTTCCATGAAGTTAACTGACCGCAATTCATACATCTTTTGTCATCAATTCCCCAAAGCCTATTTTCAGGTTTCTTTGTTCCTGAGCCAATTTGGAGGGTCTTAGAATGTTGGTTTCTATATCTTCAAAAGACTGTACCAAGTATCTCCCATACACAGATATATTTGTAACATATTTTAAAAACTAAATGATAACCTTGAAAAGTCAACACAGTATACACATACAAAGTGATTATCAGCAACACAATGTTCCATCACTAAATACTTGATATATGAAATTTGAGAATTTAAAAATATACATCTTGAGTGCAGTCACAAAGCATAACATTAGGGTGACTCAGAAGGAAAAATTACTATTAGAATTGGAAATGACAATGTTAATTTGATCTAAAATAGAAGYGAAAGCTTGTTTAATCAACAGTTTAGAGAGTTGCTTAAAAAATAAATTGCTTGACCTAGATAGCTCTTTCAAGTTAAAAAAAAAATTGTGCCTTGACATCTGTAACATTTCATGAAAAGTAAGGGATAGATTCTTGTGCCTTTTTGGAAATGGGTGGTTGTTTTTGCTAAATGATAGTAGATAACAGTTTGAGAAAATTACAGGGTTATATATATGTATTGACAAACTCAAATTAAAATTTAATCACAGTGTTTAATCATCTTGTCATAAACTGAGTCCTGAGACATCGGAATATAACAAAGACAAAATAAATCTTGTCAAAAGTGACTAGGATACATTGACTAGTGGCAACAATCATTAATGGGTATATAAGTCTAAAGTGTGTGGCAATCTGTGAAGCTTATTGCCGATAGTAAAGTCAGAGAGACTAAAATATGATGAAGAGAGACTCATTTCTTTTGACATACATTCAATGTAAGCTATCTATTAGGTCATCAAAGATGAAATTTAAATAATTATCTTACACAAYATAGCCAGAAACAAAAAGAATGGACATAAAAATACTTGTTACTTGTAGGATTATAAAATATATCTAGGAAAACATATGAATAGGAAGTGAGATTTGTGAAATTTGAAAAATATAGATTCTGAAGTAATTATCTAAGATATTCAGTAGAAAAATTAATATATTAAAATTCTAATAAAATATATTCGGATGTTAAATTTCACTGGATTAAAATTTTATTAATATATTAAAATTTTATACTATTAAAAACATATTGATATTATGAATATGCTAACATATACTGAATATTCATATWTATTTATWTATTTATTTATCATATTAACCAATTACATTTTTAAAAAGTTGCAGGGGTTGCCAATTCTTTGTTGAGAAGGAAGACAAATAAAATATAATTTGTCTCACAAAACTTATTGGAGACAAAAAGTCACCAACTGGAAGATAAAACATTACAAATAATAAACCATGGAAATAGTAGAAACAGTTAACAGTTTAATAGTATAGCTCAAGCCTCAAGATAAAAAAATCCATTTAATAGTCCTCAAATTCTATTCATACATTAGTATCATTTTAATTCTCATTTCTTGACAACAAATGAAGAAGTGTTCTGTGTTCCTTGACTGTGCTGATGAGAAGAAAGAGGAAAGCAGTAAATGGTCATCTCAGCTGGAAGTAGGAGAAGGAGGGTGTCTGAGACTTCCCATGCAAAATCTCAAGCTCAGAGGTGTTTCATGGCAGGAAGGAATGTGGTCATGTAAGCTTTCCTTCAAAAGAATCYCAATTTTCTTCATGGCTTTTAAAGATAGCTTCTCCCTCACCAATACTTCCTTGCCCACAAGGGGAAAACTGAATGAATTGAATTGAACAAGGCGAGGTTTTTGATTTGTTTATTTTTATTACAGATATTTTCATATGCACTGTGACTAATAGCATAGGAGCATAATCTTTTGCTTGCCATTTTTTTTGTTTGTTTCTTTTTAACAACTTTTAGTCCCAATTTAAACAAACAGAATCAATGGCAATATTAACTGAAGTCTGGATACCCCAAATTCTTCTTTTCTTACCAGCAATGGAAAAGAAAAAGGAACGCCATGTAGAATAGAAGCAGTAAGGCTATAGGTATTCTTACAAAAGAAAGTTGGCAGGGACGATGATTCTGAGTCATTTTACCAGTTGTACCAGTTCCATTGCTTTTAAGGTTGAAGCTCCAGCATTTCTGAATCTTTGGGAAGAATCAAGTAGCCCCTAGTTCTCTGGATCTAGCCTCTTCACAGGGTATTAAGTGCATTGGGGGACTCAGCAACGGTGTACCCAAAACTTAATGATCATGGGGAAGGAAGAAGGAAGGCCCAGAAAGCAGCCTGGTGGAGGGAGAGAAATGGGACTCCATTCTTATTTTCCCACCATCCACTCACCCAAGGAAGTTGCTACTTCACAGTGTCCTTATTTACCCCAACAAATCAAAATATATCTCACTCAGAAGGCATGACTGGAGTTGATTATCAAGTGGAATACAAAAATTAAGTTATGTAGGGAAATAAATGAAATAACATTCATTTGGAAAAATGATGACGGTGCCTGTTTCAGGCCTCATGAGAGGACTGTACACACAGTTTTATCATGATTTTTGTTGTCTTGTTGGCAATGGAACTTTACAGAAGTTTTTTTAAAATGTTATGGGAATAGAGCTGGTCCTTTCTCTGTATAGCTTATTATTTGCTTTCCTATGTAATTCCACCTGAAAATCTCATCCAACTCTAATTATAAAAAAAAAAAATAGGGGAGAGATTTTGAGTAAATAAATAGATTGAAGTGTCAGATCAAACATAAACTGTAGAACCATATTAAAATAGACCAGCTATTAATTCACAAATCAAAATATTAACTTAGTGAAACAGTCTGAAAATTCTGAGGAATGGAACTACATCTGCTTTATTTATTGAAGTATCCCCAGCCTCTGTCACAATGCCTGGGATATAATCTGTCTTCAAATATGAATTCAAATGTTAATATGCTCTAATAAAATAGCTTAGTACAGATATTAAACTGATCCCTAATGTTAATATACTGAAATCCCTTATATGCTTTCTTACCTATTCCCTTATTTACTTTTTTAAGAAATCAAACAAAACACTAGTATAATAGAATGCAATATGGTAAAACCAAATCCATTTGACATATGTAAGTAAGGTCAAGGAAATAAAAGAACTGAAAGAGCGTGTTGTACAAAGATATGAAAGTACTATGAGAATGCCCTTAGGAATGAGAATTTAAATTGAGAGTTTATAAAGAGCTACTTGTTCTATGCCAGGATATCTACAAAGTAACAAATGTCAAAAAAATTACATGGTCCCTGGGAACATCAGGGCTATCTACAGATAAGTTTTAGAAAGATGTAACCCACCAGAGAGTCTGAGGAGCAGGACTGAAATAATAAGGAAAAGAGAGATGTCTAAATGTGAAAGTTTTAAGGAGCAAAGATGACTTTGGCAAGTCCAGTAGATCGTTTATAGGAAATGACTGAAAGAGTATTCATAGGAAAGTAAATTTTGATCTCTTTTATTTAAAAAAAAAAAAGATAGGTAGTGACATTCTGAGATATTTTATAGGATATTTTTTAAAAAGATAATTTGCTACTCATATAAATATGAGATGAAAAATTGAGATATAATGAATTTTAATAATTAAAAGAAACAAGCACTATTGAGACAAACTTTACTTTCCCTGGAAGGGTAAAAAAGTAAAACCAAGTCAGATTGTTTACATGAACTATTATGAATAAAGGATTCATTTTTCCCTAAGATCAGCAAAGTCTAAAAGAGATGACTAGAAACTTGTATTAATTTTGAAGAGCAATAAATTGAAAAAAAAGTTTGTAGTGCCGTGAAAGGCAGGTTGCCCATATGAAAAAGTTAATTCAAACTATAATCATAAAATGTCTGTAATTATTTTCAAGTTAAAGCAATGTGTTAATTCCAGGTATAGAGATTTCTGATTCTGACACTCATGTTAAGCTGAGATCTGTGTATATGCTTTGCTAAGTGTCTTTTTTATGGTAGACTAAGCCTATATCATTATTTTCACAGTGAATTTTATATGTATTATAATAAATTATACGTATATAGTGAATTGTACCTTATGTTTAACTTATATTTTAGAATATAAACATATAAAATGTAAACATAATCTTTATACTTTATAATAATGGACTGTTCTTATAGATCATCAGGGGCAACTATGTTTTTAGATACACAATAGAATTTTCTTAAATCTCCTACCTATCCCTGAGAATGGTCCAGAGCTCTCCACCTAGGCAAACTTCCATCAACATATACAAATATTTGCTGTCCTTAAATGTTCTGTATAGCCTGTGAATTACAAATAAGAAAGTAAAGGTTATGAACACTATAGTGTTTTAAACATATTCAAAGTTTTTAAGTTTTAAGAAATTAGTTTTTCCTTTATTTTCTTTTAATTGACACGTATTAATTTTACATATTTATGTGGTTCAGTACATACTTCAATACATATTTACCCTATTTCATAATCACATCAGAATATTCAGCGTATCTATTGCCTCACATATTTATGGTATAAAGTTAGAATTAGTAGGAATAGTTTTGGTGCTCCTCTGGAGTGTAGGGAACTAAGGCTGCTATTGTATTGAATATTTCAAAATAACTAAAAGAGTTTGATTGTTTTTATCACAAAAGTCTGCAAATTTCTGAGTGACCAAATTATAGTTTGTTGATATTGCCATGCTTAAAATTTTATCAGAAGAAATGAAAGAGAATTAAGTCCACAATCTGGGAAGAGGATCCAAGGGCAAGTGACTTACACACCATGGGGCCATGTAGTTCCCTTGTGGTGGATCAGTTCAAATGATTGCGGACAAGAAGRCTTTGTGGGACTCTATGGAGTCCAATTTGGATGACGTATCTGGCTTGGACTCATTAGCAGAAACTTTTAATAGGCATAAACATGCAGTGTGTATGGGTATAAGTATGGATATAAAGTAGATCAAATTTTATAAATAATGTATGAATTTCATGTGGCATTCACTTAAATTCATGTTATATCTTATCTTGTACAAATGTCATGGCAAGTTAAGTACAAAAGCTTCTTCTGCATATATTAAAAACCCTCCCAATTATCCTATCATTAGTGTTTGTGAAATATTGAGGTGGAAGAATCAGTTGTCATTTCATTWAAAAAAATCTTCCAAAAATTAAGTTAAACAGCTTGATTTTTGATATTTTGTCTTTTAAGCACCAGATGTCTATGTACCATTGTGGGTAACAGGACAAAAATGAAATCTTAGAAACTGACACCTCCTTTGGGAAAAACACATCTTTTTAGAGAATCTGATTCTCTAAAAAAAAAATAAAAAGAATAGAATCAAAACTTTATATTTTTTTAATTAAACAAAACTTTAAATTCCTTTATGCAAATGAGATGTGTGAAGGATGAGCACAAGTGGCACAGGATCTGTGGTTGATTTGCCACTGGAGTTGGTGCTGGGACATTTACCTCACTATGAAGTCGGAATGAGCCCCCTGCATGATATGCTTCTCTGAGCGGATGTGCTCCTGCTGTCTGGTATCCACAATGTGGCGTTTCTTGAGAATCTTCATTGCAAATGTTTTGGATTCTTCACTTTTCAACTGGACCTTAAAGAAAGGCAGAAGAGAAAAGAGAAGAGAAGTCTAAAGATCTAATACAACAGAGTGCACTGTTATCCTGAAATGAACAGGTACATGGGGCACCCCGTGAACCCTAACTACCATCCGAGGCACTCACAGCCTAAGTTTAAAGCCCACAGTGCACAACCATTGTTCAGTCTCATTCCACTGGATGAGTTTTTGCATACTTGATTCCAAGCTGATTTTGTGCCCACATGGATTAGAAGAAGAAAAATATACTTGTCATTGTTTCATTTCATTTCATATAATGTGTTTGGGTATATTTTATAGTTCTTTCCTTTCAATCAAAAAGATTTCTTCTCTAATTTGACTTCAATCTTTATAGCAAATGTAGGACCATATGAATCTTTGTTCTTAGTCCTAATCTACAAACATTTCTAGAATCATTAAATTCAATGACCCTTGTCTGTGCTGAGACTGCAGATATATGCACTGTACTGTTATTTCTTCTTTTTGTTTTTTTAAAAATCTCTCAATCTTTCCCCTTCTTCTCAAAAAGGAAAAAAAGTAAACAAAATTTCTAAAAATTTGGAAAATTCTTTTTTTATTTCCAATATGCCTTATAACTTAAGTCTCTTTTGATATCAAATCTTACTCCTTGGTTTCATTAATTGGAGAGATCTAAGCTAAGATTTAATGTCCCCGAGGTATTGAGACCTCTATGGCAGCCCTCATAGCTCCCAGTRGATCTGGAGGAGTCTTGGTATCTCCAAGTACTATACCTCAGATGGGCTGCTGGTCTCTGTTCACTTTTACAAGAAGTTAAACAAGGTGACTTATAAGGAAAGGAAGAGAGATAACTGAGCTAATTACTTAATAGCAATACAAAGGAGCTATCATCAAGTGCTCTTGAGCAGCAGAATCCTCAATGCAATACTGAGTGGCCCACATCTTAACAATCTAATGAAAGTTTGGGGGAAATAAACATGGCAAGCTGATTTTGATTTTCAGCTGAAGTATAGCCCTCCCCTCTTTACTGTGAATTATGTACGGCTTTCATCTGCAGGGATAGTGAAGTTCTTAAGTGCCCTGTCTATGACTGTGGGTACAGACTGAATTCAACTTGAGAATACATTCATGTGGAAAGTTCCTTAGGAAGGAGCATGAGGATACTTCAAATAAATGAGTTTCAGTTTGCTGTCACCATTTGTGAATCTGTGTGAGAGGTTAGAGGAAAAAGTGGATATTTGAAAATGCCTCTAACACATAAAGGCCCTCTACTGTGTGTGCAAAACTCTTCAGGATAATGGAGTAGTGTGCTACAAATGGATTCAGTTGAAGTTCATAATAAAAGAAAATATTAAAACCCACTTCTAAAAGGAATCAAATAGGGAAGATGGAATAGCAAATGAGCTATATCAGAGGTACTAAAATTCAGAAGGGAAAGAGAGTCACATTCCCTCTTCAGAGTCACACCCAGTTAAACCACTTGCTTAGATTAAATGCCTACTTTTAAAATTATCTCTTCATTGACAACAAAGGTTTTTCACTTGTACATAGGGAAGAGGAAAGAAGTCTGCTTTTATGGTCATAGGTCAGGACTTAATTTCTGACTCCAGTTAGTCACTCTTAGGCTAGTTGCTTAACTCCTCTAAGCTCCAGTTTTTTGCTGAAGATAATACCGGCTACTGTACAGAGTTACCAGGGCCTTAAACAAAATGGTACCACTGAATGAGCATTGTTTGATGATCTCTCTGCTTGTACTCTGGCCTTAACTGGAAATTCATACCAAATCAAATTTGCTTTTTAAAATATTCCTTTTCCAACATTGTCACTATCAGAAAAATTTGGAAACTAAATGTGCATCAATAGGAGTATGGAAAATTAATTATGATAAGGTAGAATTACAATTAAAATTTTGAAAAAATAGTATGTATGTATATATCAATAGAAGGTATTGGTCATAAACCAGCCAACATTTTATGATATCATAAATAGTATACTTATATGTGAGTGTATATCTACCTGTATAATACCTAAAATAAATTTATGGCAGGACAATCAGAAGGTCATCAGTACATTAACAATGGTTTTCCCTTAGGGAGATTTTTAGTTGTTTTGTTACTTGCTTTTACTTTTTGAATCATTTAACTTTTAATTAATGTATCACACTTACGTGATAAATAAAAATAAACTCTAGTCATAGAAAAATTAAAGTCTATTTTATATTGTAAAATTTAAGTCTATTTTATATTGCAGTCACTACTTGTTGTTTTTGTATGACRCTCTTAAAGTAATTTCACTTATTTTAGAATTCCATGAAAACAATGACCTTCATAAAGTGCATTCTATGTGATGCTATAGCATAAAAATTTAATCAAGTTTTGGGTTAAACACACTATTCATTTTCTTGGAGGRCTTGTCATGATTTATTTTTTTCAATATAAACTCTTAGGGTAAGTTATAACAATTTGTATTTTGTGAAATGCAAGTATTATGTTTCACTGTGAAATTATTTTTAACAGAACTGATCTTTAAAATTTTTAAAGTGAAATWTAGTCTGCCTTTTCTTTTTTCCTATTTGCCAGATTAATTACATTGAGTCCCTGTACATGAATTTGAGATAGGGATGATTTTTTATTGGTTTGTAGCCAGTCAGCTAAGGGCCCAGAAATGAATGCTAAATGTGAATAGAGGTCTGCAAAGAGGAGAAAAAAAAAGCCTACTTTCCTTCTTCCGCTTGCCCAGGAATYTTACACAGTCCTGTGGACTAGGAAAGCACCTCAGATTGTCTTCCCTTGCAGACTATCCTAGCATGCTAAGGGCACAGGAGACACACTAGTTGAGTATGCTTGCTCCAATATTTAAMTACTCTAGGCTGGCTATCTTGCTCAAGTTACTCAAACTCTCTGTATTCCTGTTTCTGCATTTCTAATACAAGAAGCCTTCTCATAGGTTACCTGTTAAGTTGAAATAGAAGGACCCACATATCAAAATTCCTAGAATAGGGTTAGCATTCAGTGACTATTAATTCTCTTATTCTTTCATCTTCTTAGTTTAATGGTCTCTTCAGGTCAAAGCACTGTCCTCATAATATGCCCCACCACCGGCTGAGTATCACTTTGTTCCTATSCCTACCCCAGCCCACCTCAGTGCTACCAAATAAATAAGTTTGAGAAGCTACTTTAAGATTGTTGATGCTTATTCCACAGTGATTTTACTCTCATRATTCCTTGGGAGGAAGATTTACAAGAAAAAATGCTAATATTCAAGATTGTCTTTTATTTTATACAAGTAATACTGTGTGCTATGTCAAATTAGAATTGGTAAAATTTCGTTTGCAATAAAATGTGACTTCARTGTGAAGCATTATACTGACATTTAAATGAATGTATATTTGGGTGAAGTTTCTCTTAACAAGCAAATTTCTGACATGAATTTTGACAAATCTTAGCTGTCAGACTCCAGCTGATGCCAAAATGATACTACTTTGAAGAAAAGGTGAAGCAATCAGACACACTTGCTGACTATATTTACACACCCCTTACTTCCCTTCTGGACTAGGCACTGCCTCCAAAAKACTTGTCTCCTGTTTGACTTAATTGTTTGCCCCTACTTTGAGGAAGGAGGGTTATGATTGGGACAATATTAAAACTGGTTCAGTGCTCCTAGTTGTGAGCTGGTTCTTAGAATATATATCCATTCATCTATTTAACSGTTTCTTTAACAGCTCATATTTCATTTTGCACTATAGACATATTTTCATTATTTTGAATAAAAATGACTTCCTGAACTATGTAAATAAAATTATTTCTTAAATGCAAGGCTTAAACTTTCAATATCACATGGCTCCTTATTATGCAAAAGTACTAGTGTGGTCAAATTATTCTTTGATGCACTACAGGAAAGAGTAGCTTGCACTTAGGTAAGCTAATGCTGTAAAGCAAATATGATAAAGTGGGCCTAGTAAACCTCATATTGAAAATCTAGGTCCTAGTCCTGGTTATACAATCTCACTTGGCCTTCAGGTCACCTTCCTGGAAATGAGGTACTAAACTATGTCATTTCCAAGAGCCTGTTACCCTGGAAATTTCAGTGCATCTGTAATTTACCATAGCAAAGATGTGTTTCACAATACCAGATCATATTTAACCTCATGAAATGGGCAATCTGTGGCAGTAGCTTGGGACAGAGGGAAAGGGGAAATATCCAAAGTAACACAAGTGTAGCTTWAGGAAAGATGACCAGTTCACTCTGAAAATATGGCCTGGAGTCAGTATGTTCCTATTCCATTACGAGATGAAGATTCTATTTTCTCTATTGTCTCAACCACACTTTTAAAGGGGCTTGTTTTCTATTGTAGTCTGTGTATCACTAACTTCCAAAGAATATGACATTGGATAAAGCAGCAGTAAATTTTCTAAGAAGACCATTCCAACAGGCTCCAAGGAAAAAAGAAATCTACATTAAATCATTACAATTGTAGTGGAAAATAAGAATGGCAACTATTTTCTCTAAACAAATCAGCACAGGATTTTAATCAGGTAATCTGACTTGGGTAGTAAAGCATGATAAAGTCATTTCTTTATTTTTGACTCTCTAGTCTGAAAGGCAAGGGCCTTCAAAAAGTAATATAGAAACAATTTGGCAATGGTCTGTAACTCAAGTAACTCACATTTAGTACAAATGGAAAGGATTTAAGAAATTTATGACAAATTGTACAGTGGGAAACAAAAGTTCTATAATGGAATTGGGGAGGGAAGAAAGGAAGAAAGGATGGGGGTGGGGGGGAGAGAGAGAGAGAGAGAGAGAGATACTAGCCTCTTAGACTGAGAGAGTGTGAATATGCTATTCCATCAGATTAACTGTGCCCAGCTGCTGAGCATACTGCTCTCTATGCCAGTTACAATTAGTTCTCACCCAGAATCACCCAAACAGGCCAAAGTCCATAATCAAACTTAAACAGCCTGGAGACTGTGAACACACATAAGCACTAGATGGTTCCATCTCCATCATGTCTCAATATC